TCTCTGCTCAGACAACAATATTGTGTCATGAAGTGAATTGTCACTCTCCTTCATGTCCTCACTGGAAAGAAATTTAGAGGTTTATTTTTTTCTACTTCATCTTTTCTAAATCAAAGATTTAGAGGTCTGTTTTTCTTCTGCTTTGTCTTTTATAAGTCAAAGTTAACTTCATTCCCCTCCCTTAGCATTCCTGCAAGGAGGTTTTACAAGCCCAGGAGCTTTTACAGCTCTCTAGCACAATCTCTACACTCTCATCTTCTGCCTTTTGCCTTAGGGAGGGCACAGGAAAGGGGACTTCAGAGGGGGTTCATGAGCGGTCAGGGCTATAAATGTCACTTGTGACAGAGGGAACATTTCCAGGGTCCTCTGAGCAGCTCCGCAGTGTTGCCGAATACGTGGAGTGCGCTCTGGGTGTGAAACACTGCTGGGTTTCTTAAAAGGTCTAGACCTCAGAATGGATGTTCAAATGAGAATAAATGTACAATGTACACTGAAAAAGAGAAAGTGTGTGTATGTATCGATGAGAAAGTGCTCGTATGTCTCAATGAAATGCTGGAAAACACTAAATAGGACCCRAAATAACCATCCAGAAGGCCTGATGTTTCTAAGAGTTGCTTCCATTAACTATAGTGGTTGGCTCTTACCACAGCTAACCAAGATGGCCTTGGAGATTTAAGCATCCATTTAGAGCTCAGGCTTCAGGCTTCCACTTGGAAAATGGTGGTCAGAATTTTACATAATAAAATAGAGGATTTCTTACCAGTTAGATTTACTCCTCAGAGATAAGATTTTAGGATAAGAAAGTACTGTTTTCATTCCCGTTCATTATTTGACTTGACTTGACTTGACTTGACTTGACTTGACTTGACTTGACTTGACTGAAAAAGTCAAGGTAGTTGGGGAGCAGGTAGCAGTTAACAAGTGAATTCAATAGCATCTTTCATGTATTTTGTGTCTTTCAATATCAGGAATAAAAAATGGTTTTGCAATAGGATCTGAATTTTATGCTGAAGTTAATAATTTTCCTTCTTCCATAGAGCTGTAGGACTATAAATCTGTGTATTAGTCTGAACTAATATTAAAGTAAAAATATTTAATTGTTTTTCTTTTCTTTTCTTCCTAGAATATTTTCTTTCTTGGACATAGTTACTTTGTGTCGATGTGCACAAGTTTCCAAGGTAGGTTTCTGTAGGTTGKATCTTTTCCTTCCTTTTGGTTTTTCTCTGCAAATTCTCTGAATTACTTACAATTTATGGACTTTTGGACCACCTCAAAGAGCACTCCCAGACCCTTCATTCAGTAAAACAGATAAACAGGGGATTCAAACTTGCACTCGGATATGTGGAATTAGTTGCTATGGACTCGATTTTTGTTTAAGAGCAATGGAAAAGATACCTAGTAGAGCACACGCTGTATCTGGAGAAAGGATTAAGTCCATTTTGGCACAATGGTATTTGCTTTCTCTAAAGCATGTGGCTGTATAACACCATTTTTCAGACGCCTTTTCTGCTTAAAATTCCGTGTAGCTCAGTTAATATGCACCATGTGTCTAAGGAGCACATCCATCATTTGCTTGCCAAGTACAAAAGGTGTTAAGTGGATGAACTACTGGTAGAGAAAAAGGCACACAGAGGATAATAGAGAACTATTTTTATGTTTTATGTTCATGTCAAAATATGCTTTTATGTTTTGCTATTGATGTTTTCCTCTAGTTAGACTGAAAAAATTTGTTCCTATATGAACTGTGTAAAATGAAGCGTATCATTCTCATACATGATATATTTGTATATATTTTTAATTACATGGTTTTCTCTATTCTTTTATTGAGGAAARATTTATGTATTTATTTTTCTTTAAGTGTATAAGTAGAAGCATAACTATTTCACTCCTACATCACTTTGGCCTGTAATTTCAGTAAGTTTTGTGAGCTAAGTTTAGGTCTTGTTAGTACCTTCAGCTAAAACCAAGAATACAGCAGAAGAAAATCAAAGTGACTGAATAAGTGAGATTTTTCTTTTAAAACTATGTGTCAGTTGGACATGATATTCTTTGTCAATTTTTGCCCTAAACATTGGTGTCATTTGTTGCATCTCTGTCCCAGTGGTTTGGTTTTGATTTGAAAAACTCTCATTTATTGCTCCAGCAATGAAAGACAAGAGCTCAGTGTGCATCTAACAGTGGAAAGTCAGCACCTTTCTGGAAGGTTCCTGTTCCCTCCAAACAGGAGCCTGTGAGGTTGAACTGTGGAGATTAAACACGTGCACACACTTATCTGACATCTCCTAGCTCTTCTTGTGTCATTTGCTGGAAGGATTCTCCTGTTAAGAACTGTTTTCTTACAGATGAAGMAAAAGTAAATTTATTAGACAAATTTACTAAAACTTTTCTTTAGTTGAAAGTTAAACTGTGCTGTTTATCACATCTGCGTGATCTATGAAACATCTATGTCTTTTGCATTGAAGTTCTTGCTGATCCATGCTTTGTAGGCAGAAGTTAGCCATTGAGATATAATCTGTCTGGGAGATGTGGGATCCATTTCYACAATGGATCCGTGTTTTTAACTCTTTTATGAACCAGACATATCTATAATTGGATTTGTTTTTCAAAAGTTCTACAAGAAAGTGTATTTATTGGAATTGCTGAGTTAAGGCAGCAGCCAGTGGAAGTGTATTAAATGTGTTTGTTTTCTCTAGGCATGGAATGTTTTAGCTCTGGATGGAAGCAATTGGCAAAGAATAGACCTTTTTAACTTCCAAACGGATATAGAGGTTAGTGCCCTTTTTTTTTCCCCATTCTTATGGTGATGTTTAGACCATTTTGAGTATCCCATAGACTGTCCTCATAGCTCATGCATTTCCAAGGCTAAATTTCAATGTCATAGTAATACTGTGAAGGAGCAAATAGAAAAAGCTGACCACTGTATTTGAATTCGAGTTGTCAGCTGTACATTAGGTGAATTGAGCTTATCCTATGTATACAAGGCTCTAGGTGTTCAGAACTGTTCATTTCCATAAAAGGTAGGTGTAGAAGGCGCCTGGGGTGCGAGCGAGCCCCTCAGTGGAGASGATCGTTGGCTCCTTGTCCCTGGCCTCTCCTGAGAGTGACATCTAGTGCCCAAAGCTCCTTGGGCTCTTGGACTTGGAGACTGAAAATACAGAGTGCTATAATGGGCTTGCTTCTGCATTTTGTGTTTAGTTTCTGAATTTATTTTCATGAGGATCATCTGGTATGTTTTGTTAATCATAGTTCGAGCTGTTTCTGAAACTTGACAGTATATACATTAATTTTTCCCAACACTCTTGTAACTTATTTGCCTACTTCTTTGTTATACCGGTGTTATCTATAGAAATCTAAAGAATATAGAGGAAAGATTTCAGCACCTTCAGGTATCTAAATGTATCTAAGAGGACCTGGAGTTTTAATGTTGTCTTCTCACTTGCCTATAAAAAAAGATTTTCTTATTTGCTCCAAAAGAATAAGCTACAACGCAGATCTCTGCMCCCTCTGTTGGTCAGCCTTTTCTATGTCTGAAACCTCTCAGCTATTTAGAAGTCTAATACTGGGTTCTTATGTTTTGGGTATGTTTTGGATATGTTTGTTAGTGGTATTTCCCTTTGAGGTGCTGTTTTTGTAACATGGTATTTGAGAAAATCACTAAAATTATTTTGCATTCCGCCTTTGTTATAAGGCACTGCTGTGGTTCTGAGCATGGCTTCAGGACGCTATGGTTAAGTAACCAKTAATATAACCCACTCACATTTATTCATAAGAGCATGTTAAACCAACAGTTATTACATAAAATAGTTTTAAAGAATGAACACATTCACATTCAGTCCCTTGAATTCTATTTTTACTTAGGCAATTTTTTTGTAACAGACACTTCTTCCCTTCAGGAGGGGCAAAAGCTGCTAATTTTACTTGGCAACTTTTTACTCAATTGGATGTTCATGTGCTATTTTTTTGGTATATCAATACAATGAGCAATTGGTTTTTAATCCTATCCGTTAGTAATCATCAGTGTTGATTTTTTCCCCAGATCCGACACAGTGTGCTATCTAGTCAGTTGTAGTGATTGCCTGCTTTTTGCTGCCTTGAATGTTTCTCCCTACAAAAATGTTGAAGATACGCATTTTTGTCATAATTCAAAGTAACGTTTTATCATAATACTCCTTTCAGATTGAATATTAGAATTAGGAATTAGTATTATGCCATTCYGCTTATTGCTAACAGGTAGCAAAATGCTTTCAGGGTGTAAATAAATAGCATCTTGTAGGACACATGGGGTTGAAAGTCTGAACTCTGTGGGTGACAAACAGGTGAGGGGCACAGTGTGCGCAGCTGCTTGGTGTTCCCAAGGGTTCCCAAATGTACAGGACTTGGAAACCTGGCAAATAAGCAAGCTCCAGGATCTCCAGAGGCTGCTGAAGAGGCTGTTCCCACCACGTGTTCAGCGCCTTCTCTTTCAGATCTCTGTAGTCAGGACTGTCAAATGGCCCCAGAGGTTCAGGTTTGTATACTAGCCCAAGCGTGTCTTYAGGGACAATTAAAACCAGCAGGTTCTGGTAATAACTGTGGTCCCTGTGGTGTGGATGTGCTACACATTCCTCCTTTGGGGCAGGAAAAACAACTCAGATGGTTCTTCTGTCTCCCTGCAAATTTGGCAGAACTTGGAGGTTGTTTTAGCAGGCTTAGTGGGTGGGTTTTGCTGAAACAAAACATGGAGCTATGTGTCAGGGACAGCACAAAGAAGAGAAAGCTGAAGATTAGTTGGACATGATCCTGTCTGTGTGACTGGGAATAGATTCCCATCAGGTAACTTTTTTCCTAAAGCAGAAAAAGAAAATTGAAAATGTGTGATTTTAGAGGGGGGTGGTTGTAATTTATTTTCAGTTTCGGAATTTTTGATTTGGTTATTATGTTGTGTCAGAATAAAACTCAACAAAAGCTTCCTTTTATTTGATTTAAGGGYCGCGTTGTGGAAAATATATCGAAAAGATGTGGAGGGTTCCTGAGACAACTTAGTCTGAGAGGATGTCTCGTCGTTGGAGACTCCTCTTTGAAGTAAGTAGGGTCCTTATTTYCTAACTCAGAAGGAATTGCTGATACATTTGTTTGGATTTCTAAGTACTGTTTAATAATCAAAATGGGATCCTTAAGTATGTACTAAGAACCTTAGAAATGACTAAGTAAGACTTCAATTTGAGATCAAAATATAATTGCTTATTTTTCCAGAAATAAATTTAAAAATGACAATCTCAGGACAATATTCAAGAGATTTTTCAAAATTTTACGTTACTACTATTTTAATATCCGTTCCATCTTCAAGCATTTGATTTTTTCAGGCCCATAAAACTAGCCYCAAACAGCTACAGTTTCATCAAGATAATAGTCAGACTTTACTAGTGTGGCCCAGAAATGCCTCGCCCATTGGAAAGTGGAGTAAAGACGGATGAAGAGAATGCCTGCAAAATCAGGAGAGGTGCAGGGGCCTCCTGATGCAGCACGAGAGCAAGCCAGTGACAGCAGCACCTCAGGACAGAGGAAGGGGCACTTCCTCACTGCAGGACATAAATTGAACTGAGCAACTTATTGAATCCATGTCAGCTTTTTGCCATGTGTAGCCTGATCAGCCAGATTCTTCTGTGGCTTCCTYCCCGAGTGTTTAAACTCAGATATCCCACGTGCAGCTGAATGSTCCCCAAGCTGGTCTCAAAGTGCTGCAGGGCCCAGGGAAGAAGCCCCTGAATGTGTCTCTTTGCCATCATCGAGCTTTCTTGCTCTGTCACAGGAGGAGGCAGTGAAACCAGTGCAAGAAGCTTGATGGCTTTCAGCCTGACCTAGCACGGCCAGAAATCTTTGTGGGAAATACAGGCACAAAGATTTCTCTTCAGCAGCAGACATTGAGTTAGGATCTTGCAACCTTTAGCTCTTTCTAAGATTTCCAACCACATCTAATTCATTTAATTAGTCTCCAGAATAGATTCATGAGCATTTCTTATGAGTAATCCCTTGCTTCTGTGTATAAAAGTCAGAATCCCTCTGTCTTTGGAGGCTTTAGGTGTTTTAATTAAAAAAATGCTATCAGGGTATCACCGGCAGGGGCACTGAAATRCTTGAAACAGGAAATGTTGAGAATTAAAACACAACTGTGTTTCCAGAGTTTTGGTTAAAAAGAGGGAAAAAAAGATTTTGAACTGGTTGTATTTCATAAGCAGGTACTTGGCCTAAGTACAGAGCAGTGCAGGATGTAGCCCACGTTGGCTACTGAGACGGGCACGATGCCATCGGGACTCAGGAGTGCTCCAGAGTGGCTAACTGTGTTTGAGAAACTTCAGCAAGGAAGGTGCTTCACCTGTGAAGTATAAGAGGGTGGAAATTACTCAGAAAATGATAAATACATGAGCTTTAAGACCCTTTTTCAAAGCATAAGTGGGTTTCATTTTCAGATATTTGGCCTGGAAGTAACCTTTCCTTTCAGACTTTTTGTGTTGATTCGTTTCTAGATATGTTAGTTTTGTGGGTGATACTACTTTCTCCTTTTATCCTTCTTGTAGATCAACCTCTTGTTTAGAAAAATACCCRTTTAACAAAGCAGATATAGGCTATGTAAATACTGGGTGTCTGTGGCATCTCTGTCAGGATATAGCCCAGACTAGAATCTCGAGGCGAAGTTTACTGCTCTGCGACTTGCTACGCGGTGTTCCTGTCTTTCCAAACAGTTTGAAGAGTCGTTTGTCTCGATATAAATCCAGCTGCAGGCCATGAATTTTGGAASGACTGTTTAGAGGATTCAATGGCAACTCTCACCAGTACAACTRCCTTTTTCCTTTTCTTTTTCTTGCTTTCTTTCTTTTTTTTCCATTGTTTTCAACCTCCACTGGAGAGCCAGGAAGTTGTTAGCAGCTGAGCGTGCAGTCGGAGCTGTTAGCCACGGCAAGCCTCCAGACAAAGCTGTTTGTGTGCGTTTCCTCCACCCCTGCCAATAAAACCCATGCAGTTGGAGGAAACATGGGCAGAAAAACAGTGCTCTGCAATGCAATGCAGCTGTAAATATTACTCTGMAGAGATGAAAAGAAAGTTGATGTATATTTTTCTAGGTAATTAGTATAATGATACATACAGGCTTTTAACAGTATAATAGCTCCAATCATCTCTCAAGTTCATGCTCACTAGTGCACACAGATGCATTTTAATTTCTAAAATCATAAATAACTAATGTAACCCACAGAGCTTTGCACTAGGCTTAAGGCCCAGTACTGTGTTATGTAGGGTACGTTCCTTTCCCTTYGGTGTTGGAGAGAGCTCCTTTCCAAAGGATTCGGTAGTGAAATGTATGAAACAGTTTCCCCAACAGCTCCGTTATGCTTAATATTTAATTGATGTGATATTTAAACCTTAAATTTATTCCCTTAATATTTTTAATTAAGACATTTGAAACAAATTGGTTCATCTTTATATGATAGAAATAAACACCTGCCTGAAATGGTATTGGGGGAAGGAACAGTAGTGGTTTCAGGAGCTACCTAAGACCAAAACTTGCTATAGYAAAGGGAAAAAGATGCCACAGATGCATTTGAAATGTATTTTGTGATTTCTCTGCAACCTGAAGATTAAGCTTTGTGAATGAGAGGGAAGGAGGCAGGGGGCAGAGCGCACTCTGGTGACTGAATTACGACTGGTGATGTTGTATTAATTCTCCTGTTTTCTGTTGTATTAATTCTCCTGTTCTCCTGTTTTCTGTGTTTTAGGACCTTTGCACAGAACTGCAGGAACATTGAGCACTTAAATCTAAATGGGTGCACAAAAATTACTGACAGGTAAGTCAAAAGTTTTTTTGTTTAACAGTGAAGGTTGGAAAAAGAAGTAGCTGAAGGTATTTTTAGTGTGTCTGCTGTTTTGCAGCACGTGTTACAGTCTTAGCAGATTCTGTTCCAAGCTGAAACATCTGGATCTGACATCTTGTGTAGCCATCACAAACAGCTCTTTGAAAGGTTTAAGGTAAGAAGATTCAATGTTTTGTGTTAAAGAAAAATCTTAAAGAACTGTTCAACATTTAATGAAGTAAAAAAGGAAAGAATGTGCTGAACTTTTAACATTACGTATCAGCAYGGGCTGTATTCTGTATCAAGCACCTCGTGGGTGCAGAGCGTGGTGTTTGTGTGTGGTCTTGTCTCATGACTTTTCTGTAGAGGCCTGGCACAGTCCACTGGCTCTCGTTAATTTCTAACAGTGTGTTTAATTTGGGTTTCCCACTGTTATGACTATTTGAAGGCTGGATTTAACTTTATGTATTTTTTTAATTCTCCCAGTGAGGGTTGCAGAAATCTGGAACATTTGAATCTTTCCTGGTGTGATCAGATTACGAAGGATGGTATTGAAGCACTGGTGAAAGGGTGTAGTGGACTAAAAGCTCTATTTCTTAGAGGTTGCACACAGGTACATAACTGCTTGGGTCATCCTTTAGGAATAAAAATTTTGCTTTGGCTTTTTGAAATCTTCATGAATTTGAAAATTTTGTTTTTGTTAGTGTTTTGTTCAGTATTATAAAATGTGTGTGTGTGTGTGTGTTTTGTGGGCTGCTTTGCTTTGCTTTTAATTTCCTGTTTCTTTTCCTATGTCCAATTTAATTGCTAATGTAGTTAGAAGATGAAGCACTGAAACACATTCAAAATCACTGCCATGAACTTGTAATCCTGAATTTGCAATCTTGCACAGTAAGTATTTGACATTTCAAAAGATGCATTTTCTGAGAATCATGAACTTTCTTYGAATCTTAGTGAATCGAATTGGTACATGTAAATTTATAGAATTTTATGTGAGGGTGGATGACTRTAGCAAGTGTAAGAATTAAGAGTATTTAACGTAATTGCCACAAAATAGTTCTTTTTTTTGCAATCATAATGGCATGTGTCTCTCTCAAACAAATCAGAAAGTTCCAAAAAACAGCATATTTTGAGAGACATAGCCAGAAACTATTTGTTTGATCTTGAACTTCTTGTTGTAGTTATTATTAAAACAAAACAAAACTGTTTTGTTATCTGTAAATGATGCAAGTCCTCCTAGATCTGCAAACAGAAGACARGATTTATAATTTTCTGCCTAGAATAATTTCTATTTGACAGAACAATTCTCATGAAAACACATTAAAACCTGCAGTGTTTGGAGGAGGGAAAACCTTTGCGCTGAACTGCCATTATTTCTCATCATGTTTTCATTTTTGAAAAGCAACATGTGATAATGAATGGTCTCAGGAATATGCTATAGTAATAGTAACATACCTAGATGATTTGCTCATAAAAAGACCATGTATTTTCAAAAGACATTAGAGATCTTTGTTATCATTGCAAGTATAATGTTAATCCAGGAAATAAAATAGACTTGGGTCAGCATGAAGGATTTGTTGTTCAGCAGAAAAAGAATTGGAGTAGGAGTTGGAGAAGAGAAGGCTTTTTGCGGAAGAGAGGACTTAATACAATGGATATCTAAACAAAATATTAACAATATTCCTCTCCCAGTAGGCGAGGTCCCATTACTATTTTGTGTGCAGCTGCAACAAGGTTATTTCTTACAGTGTCTGTTTTAGAGAAAAAAAAATGTCTTCCAAAATTAGAGCAATTTGTATTAGAAAGTCAAGCACAGAATGATTTTGGAAAAGAATATAAATAGTCCTTTGCATTAAACCTTTCAGCTAGGGACAACTGTAGGGCAAACGTGGCCTCTAAATTAAAGTTTTGTAAAGGAAGGGTGAGATGCAATTGCCTAAGGTGGCCCTTGCTTTGAGAGGGGTCCGTGTGTGAAGGGCATTTAGCCCTGGGTCTCCTGTGGTGGCCAGCTCACTCACTGCAGAGCTCCCTAAGGCCTCGCTGGCTTGCAGGTCTTGAACTGTTTATTTTGCATAGTCCTTGTAATGAAGGACCTTCCCTGCGGTGTGAGCAGACAGAATGGTTTCACAATGGTACTCTGTGTTTAAAGGTGGACAGGTTGTATGCAATGTGACTCCATCCCTTCAGAAACGAGACTTGACTTTTGCTCACAGCAGATTACTTGACAGCAGAGCAACTTCAACCTTTCTGTGTGTTGCAGCAAATTTCAGATGAAGGCATTGTGAAAATCTGCAGAGGCTGCCACCGACTGCAGTCACTGTGTGTTTCTGGTTGCAGCAACCTGACAGATGCTTCGCTCACAGCGCTTGGCCTAAACTGCCCGAGGCTGAAGTGAGTATGTCGTGTGCTTGCTGGCCTCATCTAAGCCTTTCCCTTCTGAAGCACAGCAGTGATAGTGACAGGTTTGATTTACCTCTRTGTTGTTTATTTTACTTTTGTAATGAAAGCAAAACGTGGAGTCCGCAGTATGAAATGGACCTAAACCTAAGGGCAGGTCTTCAATGTAACTGATATGTGAATATAGTGCACTATATTTAGGAGAAAGAAGGATAATACATGACAAAACATGCTGTAGGAGCATCCTAGTAGCAACTTAGTAGTTCAGTATTGTGCTTCTAACTAAATATTTTAGGTACTAATGGCGAGCCAGGAGAAAAGAAAATGTAAAGCCTATTAATTATTTTTAGAAGGTAAGAATGGCTGTAGTTGTGTAGTGACTTGTGATGTTTTATACTTGGTGACTTTCCACAGTGTGTACTCTACTATGGTTTTTATGCTGCCTTTTTTCTTGTGAAAAATAGCTAAATCACACTGAAGTACCATATTTACATCTTACATATTTACCATAATTTAGGTTTTATTACAATTGTATTTTAAATATTATGCTCTGCTGTACATCCTGGCATTCTCAGACAGTGGATTTGTGGGGAGCATTTTGGGTAATGAAGGCTCAGAAACTGGTTAGAATAGGTTTGATTCTGGAGCTGGTTTTCCCACCATTTCTTGGTGTCCATTAGAACAACTGTAAAAACCCAGTATGCCTATATAGAGCAGCAGCTTACACCGTGCAGGTGAGGAATTAGCTCTGCCACCATCTTGCATATTCCCAGTACGGGCTTTTTCCAGTGCAATAATAGCAAATAAAAGAAGTTTGGGTGATGCTAAATTGCCCGTTATATGAGGAACTTGCAGGAGTCACAACAGCTCTTGTTGTACTTCCATTGCAGACAAGTGGTGGAGAATGTAGATCATAAAACTTTCAGCCAACCGTGTTTGGGTGCCCGTGGGCAATGAGCTGTTGCACTGAGCTCTTTCCACTGACTGAGTGGAAAGAGATTTAGATACTTCAGGAAATCCTTCCTTAAGACTTTGGTAAAACTGAATCCTAAAGTGGTGGTCTCCTTCCCGTAGCCATTTATAGGTACAAAAGCTTGTGTAYGACCTTGCTTGGAGCTTAGGAATTTCCAGCAAAATGAAAAGTTTTCCTTAGCAAGTGGTGCTGCTTTTACTAGTGTTTTCTGTTTATGTTCTGCAACTTCTCTGGTTCTCTCAGKTCACATCTCAATTTGGAAACAGTAGGAAGTTTAACATCCTATTAGTTGCAGTTAGTTGTTGTTAGTGAGGGGAGTAGAAGTGTAGCAAGAATCATTTTTCTACAGAAGAATATTTAACATTTTCTTAACAGGAAATAGCTATTAATCTCAAAAGGGCCTTTTTGTTACATAAGCTGTTAGCCCCTGGCTGTGCCACGAGGGGGAAGGCTTCCATCATTTTTCTCCTGCAACACGGGACTGAGGTAAAGAAGTAAAGAGTAGGGCCCTCTGCAGTGATCACCACAGCGATGTGCATCATGCACAGACAGGTTGTGCAGACAACGACAGCCAGGCCTTTAGGATCATATATTGGAAATACCTGATGAAAAATATATAGGCTTTCCACACTGGTTGGACTCGTACGCTCGAGTGTGAAGGAAAGCTGGCCAGAACTGAGCTGTCACACCTCTGCTAGAGCTTCTGAGGGGGCTTTGGAGTGTTTTCTGGGCTATGCAGTCCCACTTTGCTCAGGGGTCTCAGGTGTTTTGCTGCACTGCTTCCTATGGTGGGGCTCTGTTCTGCACCTGCAGCCTCTCTAGAAGTGTTATTTCCTTTGGAAGAAATTTCAGGGCATGACCAGCTCTACCAAATTGGTCTAGGGGACCCTATCCATCAGCTTTTTTTTTTTTTTTTCCTATATCAAGATACATCAGTCTTTTCAGGAACCTTTTTATAGCCTATTCTATTCTGTGTACAATAGTTTCTCTCTCTCTCTTTTTTATTTTTTAGTGTTTTTTAATGTTAAAATACTGACAGAAGAAGCACTCGTGAACACCATGGGTTGCAGAATGTCCTTGTCTAGGGCTGTGTGAAAATTAGGGCTCATGTCTTCAGCTGTTCTCTGCTACTTGATTGCACAGGGCTGTGGTTCCACCTCATTCATACTTCTACTTCCCAGCTTGTCTCCAGGTGGAGGAATCAGGTGTTAGGTTTATCCTTCCACAACATGGCTATTATTTTCTTTTAAGTTGTCCTTTGGCTTCAGTATTTCAAGCTCATTTTATTCTCATGTCTTGCTTCACAATGCTTACTTTGTGCACATGTTTTCAGAGAGGATTTCTACTACATAGTTCCTCTTTTTCCTTTTTCTTTTCTTCTTTTCTCTTGTAGCTTCTTAACATGTTTTTAGAAGCAGTGTTTTCCCCCGGAGCATTTATAAACATTTTTTTAACTCTCTGCTGTGTCTTTCTTCAGATAGCACATTAGAAAACATGAGCATTAYGATATCTTGCTGAAACAGGAGTTGAAAATGCGTGTAATTATGTATAATATTTTTATTAACTGCTGAGAATAATTTGAGGATTGGATTTCATTTGTTCTCTGAGCTACTGAGTCTTCTAATAAGCTGGATCAAAAGTCTGTCTAGTGCTTTTTAATTGCAAATCCCTGTGAAAAACAGACAAACATATTTGCTATTAAGAGCTTTAGGTTGCAGAAGATAGGTTTGTATCAGAAACTCATTTGCTTTTCATTATGTTAATGTTTCCTTTAACATTTGAAACTTTTCCAGGATTTTGGAAGCTGCGAGGTGTTCACATCTCACCGATGCTGGTTTCACCCTTTTAGCCCGGGTAAGGGTTATTTCTGAATGTTAAAGCTCACCTTGTTTTCATTGCTGCTAAACAGCTGTGAGCTGATGTAGACCCGCTGGGAAGGAGTCTGAGAACAGAAAAATAAGGTAGAAAGAAGCTAGTGGAGAATGGAACTGAAAAGTGGTTTTGTTTTTAGTTTATACTTAGAGCTGCAACTTCATCTGTTTTTACCTCTATCCTTACATTTTCTTAACACATTCGCTCTCTCTCTGTTTTTATTCCTCCCACTCTCCCCATTGGAGTATTTAAAAATGGGATATATTTAGATTGTTCTGAGCATAACTTGTAACCACAAATGTACTTACAACTATATAGCATAAGCTTGTGCCTTGAGTCATGCTCTAAGTATGTAAAGGAATTTGGTTGTGTCACATGCTTAGAGTTATATGCTTGCTGGCATAGGAAAATTGAGAACAAAAATAATAATAATAATCTGTAAAAAAGGACTCATTTGCACTGCTTATCTTGAACATGAGTAGAAGCTTCCCTAGTCACACTGCTCCTAGAGAAAGGTTTATGCTCAGTCAGCCCTGCAGTTCTGGGCTTTTGAAAGTCTCCTTGTGGCTACTTCTGGGAGCTGCAAGATGAACCATTTCTGCTAGGGACTAAACGGGCCATGGGGTYGGTCTGAGCACTGGTGCCCTCTAGTTTGCTGTGGGTCGGAAGCCCTGGTCACACAGTTGCATCATTTAGGGGAAATCACTTGGSACCAGCTACTGAAAGCCACTCTAAAAGCTTATCAGGATCTCTTGGGTTGCTGGAGAAATTCCTCGTATTACTGCTTGTTGGTGTGGAGTGGGGGGCACAGCTTTCTCCTAGCATCAAAGGGGCCAATATTTTTCAATTTGTGGCATTCAGTAGCAGAGCAAATAGTTCTAAAAATTCCTAGTAAAGCATGGAAGGAGAGAGAGATGTTTCAGGAGCTTCAGTGTCTTTCAGATCACTTTGGAGCAAGCTTTTGTGCACAGAAGTTGGACGTAGGTTACACAGATTAGTTACTGCACGGGATATAACCCTCCTTGACTTGAATTGAAGTTGCCTCTCAGAGAAGGAAGGGAAGCTGCCTGTCCAAGCTGTACAGGACAAGGAGAAACTTCACCTAGTAAGAAGGAAAAAAAAAGGATGTAAAGGGAGAAGTTGGGAGCGGGAGGACTGCATTGTCTGTGCAATTCTTTTTGTCCTTCCGTGGCCAGATACTTAAAGGGATTTAAATTTACTCTCGGAGGCTRTTTTCCTATGTAGCTAGCCCTGTGGATGATTTAATGGCAATATTTGTTTATTTAATCTTCTGTTTATGTTTTTTAGAATTGCCATGAGCTGGAAAAGATGGACTTGGAAGAATGTGTTCTGGTGAGATTTAATGTATTAAAAAGTGTTTTGAACATCCAATGTAAGAGTGGACTACCAATAAGAACATTGGCACTTTGATTTAAATCTACTTCATTTTTTATTAATATTTGTTGGGTTATTGATAGTAAATAAAAGTAATTATTGAATTTTTGAATTAATGAATTATTGAATAACAGTATTATAGAAAAATCTATAAAAGGAAAAGCATGAAAAGTAACAGATAACTGGGTGTTTTCCAGAAAAGTGTGTGATGGAGGAATGCCTTCATCCAGTAGGGAAAGGGAGGGTAGATATGTTCCCTGTTTTACTTGCTTACAGTTGCTTGTTTGTGTGTGTTTGATTTTCTTCTAGATAACTGACAGCACATTGATACAGCTCTCTATTCACTGTCCTAAGCTGCAAGCACTGGTGAGTTTCTCTCTGCATTTGCATTTACAAGGTTATCACACTCTGTCTAGGARAATGCCTGGATACTGTGCAAAATACACACAAGTTTCAGGCATATTCCAAAAGGAGCACCCCAGTCCTGAAGATATGTACATCTATTAAGTCTCACAGAAAGTTACCATCAAATCAGYAATAACCAGAAAGCTTATGTTATATATGCTTTACATCCTTCAGCTGGAATTAGGTAGTTCAAGTAAAACTCAGAACTTGCACTTACAAATAAGTAACTTACAGTACCCATGTCCCTTATAGATACTCTACTGTTCYCTAAGGACTGTGACACTTACAAGTCACAGATTAAAATGTGTCAAATATTGAATAAAGTCTCTTGGTAAAGCTATATGCACATTCCAGCYGGTAACCATTTTTGCAGGCAGGAGATTTTTCCCAAGGACTGAATTTACATAGTAAGTTGYGTCAGGTTTTGTGACATTGCCTTTCAAAATGAATTGGAGATTTGTAGGCTTTTAGCGGGCTACCCAAGTGTGCACTATTTTAAAGAACTGTTTTTATAGGTAGTGGCTGTTTTAGCTAGTTCCTGTATTTAGGGTCCAGTTGTTCCCTAAGTGTAGATCTCTCATGTACTACCTTAAATGTCCCTGAGAGAAAAGGTATCTTTTTAATCTGTTCTTAAACAGGATTAAAGAAAGGTTTATGGCTTCATTAATGGAACTGTCTTATTACTGCCTTAGCTTATACACCCCCAGCCCAGAGATTTTAAAAAGGAGCTGTATTCACCATTCAGAGGGTTTTTATTTTTGCTCATTCTTTGTCTCACATTGGTTTTTGGACCATCATTCTGCATGTTAAGGCAAACAAGGGCTATCAGGAGAGGTACTTCTCTTCTTTTACAAGGGATGTGTTTATTATAACTGTAAATATTAGCAGTCTGTTTCAGAACTTGCCAGAGATTTTCTGTACCAGTTTTGCCAATATCTTACTGAAAATGTCATAGAAACTAACAATGTTCTAGTGTTTTTCCTAACCTGCCACTGTTTCTTAGTTAGAAGTGAGCACCTTCCTCTATATGTCAGCCCACTGACAGTGAAATGTAAAATAACACACAATTTCAAAGGGCACAGGGAGAATTTGATTGTGTGCAACAAGGATGCATAGTCAGTCAGACTGTGCCTGAACAGTGTTGGGTGAGAATTACAGGCAGAGAAAACAGACAAACAACCCACCAAAACAACAGAATAGCAGAGGCAAGTACCCCCATGTTAACTGATCTTGATACCTGAAATGTGAGATGGTGTGTTATTGCTGGTTCTCTAAACTCTTTTATGGCTGGGCTTTAGCAAATACTTGTGTATATCTGCACTTTAAGCAAATATTTTGAAGTTGCAGAAACGGTCTTTGAATTTGTTTCTGGGTGTTTGATGACCAGTAGTGAACATGAACAAAACCACCGTTAGAACCATTGCACCTTCATCAGCTCCAAGCACCGACCTGCTTTATTGGATAGAAGAAGTAACTGCATGCGAACTTTTAAACATTCCTGCATTCAGATTAATAGAGAAACTGTAAAATGCTCTTGGATATTGGAGGTGATCATCCCCCTCTACTCAGCCCTGGTGAGGCCACATCTGGAGACTGTGTCCAGTTCTGGGCTCCCCAGTACAAGAGGGATGTGGAGCTGCTGGAGAGAGTCCAGCRCAGGGCTACCAGGATGATCAGRGGCCTGGAACATCTGCCCTGTGAGCAAAGGCTGAGGGAGCTGGGYCTGTTCAGCCTGGAGAAGAGGAGGCTGAGGGGGGACCTGATCAGCGTGTATAAATACCTCAAGGGAGGCAGTGAGGAGGAGGGGGGCRGCCTCTTTTCAGTGGTGGVCAGBGATAGGACTAGAGGAAATGGCTTCAAACTGAAGCATCGGAAGTTCCACAGGARCTTAAGGAAGCATTTCYTCACTGTGAGGGTGACAAAGCACTGGAACAGGCTGCCCAGAGAGGTTGTGGAGYCTCCTTCTTTGGAGATCTTTAAAACCCGCTTGGAYGCAGCCCTGTGCCACGTGCTCTAGGTGACCCTGCGTGAGCAGSGGGGTTGGACTSGATGACCTCTGAGGTCCCTTCCARCCTTSGGCATTCTGTGATTCTGTGATTCTRTGATTCTGTGATATTCCTGGAGCTGAGAAAGCGGTTGAATTCTTCAGTTGTGTTGATCATGCTGTTTCTTACTCACATAGTAATATGGCACATACATTGTGCCGCCTTTGATTTATAGGCCTCATTTAATTAAGTGTATTAATGACCATTTGTGTTTATAAATTCGATACTATTAACTCCTTCTACCAGGTCATAGAGACAGAAAATGTATAGGGTGGTGTATGTGTTTTGGGAGATGTATTCTATGAACCCAGCTGCAGATCCAGCCCCGTCCCGTCAGCRCCACACGCAGTGCCTGGGGAAAGCTGAGCTTTGTAAGCCGCTTAGCCCTGACTCGGGCTGCTCTTAACGAGCCCAGGTCCTGCTGCAGCCGGTGGCTTCACGGCACCTTCCGCCCTTGCTCGCAGCCCCGTCTCTTGTAAAGGTGCCGGGAGGCTGCAGGGCGCAGCCAGCTGAAGGGCTCGGGGTGCCCGTGCCAAGGGAGCAGCTCTGGGCAGGACCCGGCCTGTTCCAAGGGGTGATGGGCCCGCGGCGGCGGTGTGGCGTGGAGCTGCTGCCAGCTGCGGGTGTCCCCGCTGGCGCAGGGAGCTCCGTGGGGAGCTCCGCAGGGAGCTCTGCCCCCCAGGCCTCCTCCCGCCGCCCCTGCGCCCCTCGCGCGCCCGAGCAGGGGCAGAAAGGAAGGTGTGGGGCAGGCCCATGTGCGGGATGTGTGTGTGGGTCTGCAGGCAGGAGGTGCTCGGGGCTCTGGCTGAGGGGCAGGAGGGCCGACTGTGGTGGCAGCCTTCCCCACGGGGCCAAACAAGGTGGATGTGACGGGCGGAGGGGAGCGTCGCGGGTCTCCTGCACGTGACTGACAGGAGATGGATGCTCCTGGGGGCAGGTTTGCCTTGGGCTGACTTGGAAAACGCTTCTGGTTTGCTGCCAAGCATTTCTTCATCACTTGCTGTCTGGGAAATACCTTTGGCAAGGCTACAGCAAAACCAGACTTAGGCTTCAGACTGACGCTGCTGCAGAAGGGATCTGCTCCTGCAGGTCTGCAGGCTTTTTGTTGCTCTTGTTATTTATCAGGGATAAAGTTCTAAATGCACTAAGGGGTCATGGATTTGGAGTTGGCCACTCAGACCGTTCTGATTCTGGTTCTTTATCTGTGTGCACTTGCACAAACGCGTTCCTGGTGATGTGTATAAAAACTGACTGGTTTGGGGTAGCTGCGAAACTGTAAGTCCTGTCCAGAGATTCCCATCTGCTTTTGTGTTCTCAAAGTTCATCCTTTCAAGTTGCCTTCTGTTTCCTGCCCCATGTATGAGCCATTTGGCCCCTGCAGTGCTGAGGTGTGTGACACAACTTTAACTTCAGCTGCAGTTATTGCAATTTTGCAAATTAATTATAAACCCTTCTGGGGCTGTCGCTAGTTCTTGGTTGCCRCAGTCTGCCCTGGGTTTCAGCGCTCTGCTCTTTGAGCTGGATTAACCACTCTGAGCCTGGAAAGGACTGGTGCCTTGGGAAAGAACTCTCTCTTCTCGCCTGTCTGTTTTAGAGCTTGTCTCACTGTGAACTGATCACCGACGATGGGATTCTCCACCTGAGCAACAGCACGTGTGGCCACGAGCGGCTGCAGGTGCTCGAGCTCGATAACTGTCTCCTCATCACGGACGTGACGCTGGAGCACCTGGAGAACTGCCACAACCTGGAGCGCATCGAGCTGTACGACTGCCAGCAAGTCACGCGAGCCGGGATCAAGCGAATCCGGGTACGTGGGGGCGGCTGCTCCGGGGAATCCTGCGCCCGGGAATCCTGCATTGCCGCGGCCCAGGCAGGAAAGAGCTCGAGTGGCATCAAGTTCCTGCCTCTAGGGACCGAGCACAGCTCTCCTGCATGGGCAGCAAGAGCTGCCTCGCCCGGGGATTCCAGGCAGTTGGGCCAGCAGTGCTTTGCTTTTCACGCGTGTATTTTCAAACGCGGGTTTTCAGGCTTCTAGGGTTGTGCAGTGATACTCCAACTCTCCCCAAGGACACATGATTAATACACGGAGCTGATAGCAAAGCTTCTGCATATGGGAATTTGGGTTAAGAGGGTGCCGGGCAGGCAGGCCCTCCAACGTGGCCACAAACTGAGCCCTTTCCCTTGGAGCGGGTTGTGCCCGAGCTCCGCTTTAGGCGCCGCCGGCCTCTGCTGCGCGTGGCTGCGGGGCCACGTCCCACAGGCACCTCTGCCGCCGGGAAGCCCATCCCGCCAGCCACTGCCAAGGGCCCCTGCCCTGTCCCATCCATGCTGCTTTCTAGGATGAGGGAACCAGGGAATGTGGGAGACAAGGCACAGCCAAGCCCTTGCGCAGCGCCAGGCATCCAGCTCTGCTCCGGAGCAGGGCACATGCCTGTTGTGACACAGAGCTCCCTCCTCGGCACATCGGTGCAACGCTGGGCAATCAGTAATAAGAAAAACGCTGTCAGGGCCAGACAGTCGAAGCTGCATCAAGCAGGTAGACGCTTTGCTGCCTTACCAGCCCCCACCAGAGCCACCTCAGTGGCAGCAGTCGCGGTGTGCTGGTCCTCATTAATTATGAGTTGGGGTGGTTTTGTTTTGTTTTGTTTTTTTTACTAGTTGGGGTATATTTTCAATAGTTGGGCTATTTTTTCCCCCTTTCCCATTACAAGAGGATTTTCCTCCACAGGCTCATCTACCTCATGTGAAAGTTCATGCTTACTTTGCTCCCGTGACTCCCCCTCCTTCGGTGGGCGGCGGGGGACAGCGCCTCTGCAGATGCTGCATCATTCTTTGACAGTAAGTGCATCCCAGAGAAAATCCGAGCTCCTTTTTGTTGGAGACAAGAACTGGACGGACGGCGGTTGGGAGGAGTGAGATTCCCGACAGTCCTAACGGTGACGTTTGGTCATCCGGTTTTGTGACAAGAAAGCGTTTTTCCAGGTAAAAGTCTTACCATAATATGCAGATGTGGATTACGTAAGTTGGTGATATTGGTTTGTGTGGATGCCTCCCTCCTCGCGTTGGCACGAGAACTGACGCACGCGGGCGGCCGCGCTGAGCCCGGCGCTGGCGGCGGCTCTAGGCGCAGCCCCAGAGCCCGGAGCTCCCCCGGCTCCCGCSGCAAGGACCTGCTGTTCTGGAAGGACAAGCCAGCTTTAGATGTTGACCAAAAACGCGAGGCAATCACGAGCTCTCATAGCCAACAGCTCCGCCGTGGTCCAGCTTCCTGCTCAATTACGTAACGGGCCACAAGAGGCCACGTCAGAAGGTCAACGGGTACCTCAAGGCCACCCCATAAATAGGAACACCTGCTCCAGGGTTCTGCAGTCCGCTCCCCTGCRGGGATGTTCCCCCTAGAGCTGCCCGGCTACCCGAGCTCGAGTGCCCCACAGCGCCCCATGCCCCACAGCACCCCCAGCCACCGCTGTGGGGGAGGCTGTCGGAAAGGGGCAAGGGCCACCGGCCTCGGCGCTTTCCTGCAGCCCCTGTGCTCCAGCAGGGAATTCAATCCCGGCTGCCTGGTAGGCACCGTAGCCAGCATGGGGTCCAACAAACCTACAGGCAGGAGTAGAACCAAACCAACCCTGATCTAAAAAYGTGGGGGGAAAAATAAAAGCCCGACTCTTCACATTGGGGTTATTTAAGAAGCTGCCAACTTCTTTCTGATCATAAATACCCAAGTATTGACTCATAAGGCCACGCTTTCATCCTTAGTTTTTCAGTGCTAGAGGGTTAGAGAAACTTTTCTGTATTAAGCCACCTACTTATCTAAGCTGAACTACTCAGCAGTTCAGGAAGCTTTGTGTGTGAGCCTGACTGTGCGTTTGTGTGTGCGTGTGCTAAAGGGGTTCAGGCCTGTGTCTTTAGTCAAACCTAACAGAACCCGGCTTTATGGCGAAGCAGCCGGCGGAACGACTGGGTAACAGCCAAGCTTCCCCCSCCTCGAACCTGCCGGTACAGAGCGAGCGGGAGCAGGAGGAGAGGGCTGCGCGGCAGGGCACAGGCGGTAACGCACGGGCCCCGGCGTGCTTCCCGCCTGCAGCACAGCCCCGCGGGGCTTGTCTGCCCCCCAGCCACGGCGGCTGCTGGCTGCCATCGGCCTCAGACCCTTGGCACGGAGCCGCTGCTCCAAGGGAGCGTGAGGCAGGTTTTCCTCTCGGCCGTGCCAGGAGAGGCCCTGGCGCCAGCACCCCAACAGCTCCTGCCTTGGGGGGCTCATTTTTTTCTAAGGACATAACGAACCTTGTAAGTTTATGGCATTAGACATGTACAAAAACAAATGGAACCTACTCTGATATAGGACACTTAAATAAACARTCAGCTGCTGTCAAATGTGGATTTGTTTCCGTTATTTCCAGACTGAAGCTTTTCTGGGAGTTTCCTAGTAGAAACAGCAGGTCTTTGGGCTGGGTGCAGGACAAAGTGGTTCCTTTCAATGACCCAYCTTTGTTGCAAGGGAATTGTTCCAACAGCTCGTGCAGTTTCTAAAGCTTAACAGCAGATGTGTCTCTGATATGTAGCAGAAATGTGGAAAATAAAAGAAAAAAGCACATTTACAAAATTATTGAAAAACATTTATTATACTTGAATTGAAATGTGTACATCTTATTAAAAAAAAGCAATTTGCTGCTGGTGCCATAATTTAATTCCAATTTCAAGTGAGCTGGACAAACTACTGTACAACTTTCAATATTCTTTAAAATTAGATATTTGGATACTTTCCGATCAAGGATTTTTCCACTTTTATAAAACATCTGGATTGGAACGGGGTGCTGAGCTGAAAAGACACAAGTGTCAGTTCAATAAAATACTAGGACCAAAAATACCCAAGGATGAGCAATTCATAGGCAAAATGTTTAAGTACATTAAATTTTACTTTCAGTGCAGAAAAAGTGAGAAAGGAGAGGAGAGAAAGTAGCTTTCAGGAACTGAACTCTGCAAAACGCCACAGCTTCCAGCTTTTTGCCAAGCACTTAGCCAGTCAGGTAAGAGGGAAGGAAAAAGCAAAAGCTTCCTTTTTTTTTTTTCCTCCTTTTTTTTTTTGTTTTTCACCTGCTGCAGCAGTTGCCTCCAAAGCCCCGCAGCCCCCACAGCCCCGGCTGCGAGCTCTGAAGCCAGACCAAGGCGGAAGGGCCCCAAGGGGCAGGCAGCGCCCTGCCCCACAGCGCCTTCCCGCGCTGGCTCCGACTCTTGTCCTGGTGCAGGCGGCGGCTCCGGGAGCCCGTTAGTGTTTCGGGGGCCACGGACGCGGGGCCGCTGAAGGCCCCGGCTGCCGCCTTCCCCGCTCCGCAGCAGGACGCACCGAGTCGCTGAGCCCCCCGCGCACCGCGAGCCTGGTTAAACCCACAGCGTGACAAGCAAGGGGTTAAGCTGCAGGAGTGCCCTGCGGGGCATCTAGGACACTAAAAATAAAGGATGCATAGGCAATTCGTTTCCATTAAATTTGTTAAAGCAAAACACAATTACTTGGTACCCCACAGGATTTATATTAATCCTTCCAACAAGGTACTATTGATAATGCAGTTTGCTGCATGCATATATTGCATCTGTCTAGGGCTTCTTAAAAGCCCTATTCTGGCATTTACATTTCTTACATACACTCTTATACACAATTTACACGGGCAGCTGTTCTGAACAGCTTGACTCTCGGAGACCTGACCACGATCAGCTGAACTACTCATCTCCACACACACCATGTGCTCTGCTAACGTCAAAGAAATAAAATAAAATCGGCCTAAGGTACAAGCGAGTAAGAGCCAAACCAGCACTGAAAGGTAAAATGCCCCCAAATGAAGTTTTACATTCATCTCCAACGGGATGCAGAGAGGAGCGGAGCGCGGCCCGGCCGCCCCCAGCTGCACCTACTGGCCACGGCCGCCRGCCCCGCGCGCCGCTCCCGCGGGACGGAGCAGCCCCCGGGAAGGGGCACCTCCTGTTTTCAATATGAAACATCTCATACGGGCAAGGCAGAGCCTCAGCGTTGGGAGGATCTTGGGTCATCTTCAGGCAGGACTTCATTCTGTGTGGAAAGACCAGTCTAGCACGTGTGACATCATTTCAGAATTATATGGAAACCTTCATTTTCGGCTGAAAAAAAGAAAACAACAGGTCAGTCTTTCACAAGCAGGACAGTACTAGCTGATTCACCAGCAGGTCAGAATGAACCTACTTGTTCTTTACTGTGGAGACCATGAAATAGTAAATAACTAAAATATCCTGTGGATACTACACTTAAGCTAAGCATACCATTCTGTTGGTTCCACATCAAGACATTAAAATGGGCTTTATATGTTCATGTTAYGATTAACTGAACCTTCAGTTGGGACAGGTTCTTTAATCAAAAAAGGCAGAGTCAAACTCATCCAGTGCTCACGGCAGCTGCCGCCAGCTTCGGGCTCAGAAATACCTGGGACTTCTACGGAAGCAGTGTCCACCTTGCGCGCCAGCCTGGAAGGGCAGCGCGGCTGCCAGGCTGAGGGAACGCGCGCACCGGGCCCCACGGAGGCAGTGCAGCTGCACGCCGGGTGGGCGGGTGCGTGTGATCAAACCCGTCCCGCGGGGCCCCCCGAGCGGGTGGCACAAGGGAGGCCGCAGCCCGCGGCGGCGGGAACCCACCTTTGATTGTGGTGAATAAGAAGCAGCTCTCGTCTGGGAAGTTCTGAACCATCTGCGGAGAAGAACAGAGCAGCTGAACCCCCCCGAGCGTCGCCCATGGAAAACGAGAACGAGGCCCCAAGCGCAGCCCGTTGTGGGGAACTCTGCGTTCTGGCCTTGCGCAGCGAGTGTTTGTGGGTCTCGTCGTGGCAGTGGGCACCTCCTCTGGGAGCTCTCCAACTGCGCAGCAGGTGCTYGAGGGACCCGTGTTCAACAGCAGTTAAACATTGTTTAGACTCCTCCTGCCTTCGGCACCTTCTATACCTACTAATTACTTCCATACATACTACCTAATTGCTGCAGCATCTCTGAATGGTCAAGGCTGGAAGGATCTCAGAAGTACTGAGGAAGGCCAGGGGTCTGTTACTTCTTAAAGTCTGAAATTACCCAGTACAGGGAAGAGAGTTAAGTGCTGTTTTAAAGGCTGCTTCTACTACTTTTAAAGCAMAGGCAACAGCAGCCTAAACATCAGAAGGCACCAGGTTGCATGAGCAAACAGAAAGACCAGTAACTAGAGCAGTCCACATGACAAAAGCCTCCATTTCATTAATGCAAATATTTCTGTCACTGAAGTAAAACTCCCCTTACCTGGTCGCTAACAAGAATGTGGATTCCAGTGGGACCCTGTCTGTAAACCTGATTAATCTGATGCAGAGGAATATTGAAGGCCAGAGCAAGCTTGCGCGTCACCTCCGAGGCTGCCATTTCTTCCAAGTAGATTGCATGATACACTACAGAAAAAGAAAAAAAAAATTAGATTAAGCTTTGTACTAATTTAGAATAGGCAACTATATGAAAAATACACATCTTTGTTTATATCCCTTGCCTTCAATACTAAAATCCAATATTAAAAGGTGAAAAACCTTTCCTCTGCCTCTGTTCTCAATAGCACAGCCCTCTGAACRGGGAAGGCTTCTGCTTGCTCCCATACTGAAGGCAACTTCCAGCTGCCATTTTTTCCAGGATCCTGCACCAAAAGCCTTAGTCATCTCAGAAACAGAACTAGACTCGTCTTTGAAGAGTCCCCTAAGGATGACTCTAGAATTAGTTTGCACTGTCTCAAAAGAAACAGGTTTTCAATACGTATGTATGTATTTTTACCAGTAATGCTCTGCTGCTGCAGCCTTTTTTATTTTTGTGGATAATGAGTCTTTTTCAAGAATGAATCATTCTGTCAGAGCTGCGGCGAAGGGAAATAYGGCAGAGGAAGCAACAGAACAGAACCACGAAGCACCTGCTCATAACTCGATGCTGCTTTTACAGTCCCACAGCTTTAACTAATGGTGCCAGCGGCCCTTATGCGGCCGTTCCACGCTTGGATGTTGTTCTGTCCTCAACAACTTGAAGAAATCCAGAGGAGAAACCTACACAGTTTGACAAGAGAGGACCCTGTCCGCAGACCTGATACACGAGGTGCCCCTCGGATACAGGAGTATACGGATAGAGCATCAGCCTACAAAGATGCTATGGATTCCTTACTGGGGCTTTGGGGCAGGGGTGTTTCYGCCCTCGAAGCCGAGAGCAAGAGCACAGTAATGTAAAGTTGCTTCACTCTCTAAATTAAAAGATTGATGTGAATTAAACATGAAGTTTCTATCTGTGTTGCAACAACTGTTGCATGGATAAAGACAGCAAAACCTACTGCAAATAGGTAAGAACGCAGGTCTTCAATTTGCAGTTAGCTTTTATGTTCATCTCTGCTTATACAGTTAACATCCTGGCTGTACAGCACAGCACAGCTCATTTGAGAGCTCCTTAATCAATTCTCCACATAAATACAGYTAACTGCATCAGTGGACTGAAAATCACGATCTAGTCTTGAGAGGTTTTAAGCTTCTGTTCATCCTTTGCAACATTAAAGCTATTATCATCATCATCATCATCTCTTGTTCAGGCATTTATGTAAATAAATGTGTGTCTACATATATCAATAAAACTCCCTACAGATTCTCTGTATACAACAGGCTCAATTCCAGTTCTGGGCAAACCAGGAASTGTTTTTCCTTCTCCCTCTCGTTTCCCTCGTGCCAAGACAGGGAGCCAGCAAGGGCTGTACCGTATATTGCCCCGTTGCTGCTGTCGCCGCTGCCTGCGTCCTGCCTGTCCAGCTGCAGGCTCCTGGAGGGCTCCTGGCACACGTAGATTGTTAAACGGGGTCTAACAGACCTGCAATTTAGAAAGGCCACACATCAGAGCCAAGCTCCCTTCCCCGAGAAGGCACTGAAACGTCACAAACATTAATTTATTATGGCAACAGGACCCCGAAAATGTTGTCTTTCCCAGACCCCCAAATCTTTTCACACAGTAGCCCAGCCTAAGGAGCCGGGACTGGTCTCCCAGGTGCCAGCACCCGCATTTACACCAAACACCAGTGAGTTCCGAGGCCCCCACGACACGGTGGGTGGCTGAAGAGCAAAGACGGTTCCCACCAAGGTGAGCGGCAATAAACGCCCACGTGGGTCACGGGCAGGTGTCTCGGTTGTGTGCGTTGTGTGTTGGCTCGGGTGTCACGCTGTGTGTGTTGGCAACCAACAGCCGTGGGCTCAGCCAAGCCACCCCCGCTCATGGTGGGTCTCACTGCCACGAGAGGAGCTGCCTCCGGGCGCTGCGTCCGCGCACGCCCCGGGMGCTGCGGCCGCTCCGGCCCCCGGGCAGCCCCGGGACGGCGCCA